ATATAGTGCTCTGTGAACACAAATTAGTTAGTATAAATCAGTTAAATGACGAAAAATTAGGTGTCTATTTACTTGTGACCACTCAGTGTATATAAACATGTAGATGTACAAATTCTATTTTCTTCTACTTCATACGAAATTATTTAAAAAAAGAGAAACGACCTTCGAAACCTGACGTAAATGGAATAATTAATTTTATTAATTTATAATTACCAGAAAGAAAATTAGAACAACCATCTTGAAAACGTTAGTCAGATAAACCATTACTCTAACGTTAGATATTACATAAGTCATGTATTTTCCGATAGGTAACGCTGTAAGTTACGAACTCCTTATGTCCTTCCACCCCTCCCTTGTTTTTCATTTATTAGCATAAAAAATATCTTTTTTTCACACAAGTTTTTATCTGTTGTACATAGTAAAAATTTAGTTTATTCACAACGTTTTACCAGTTCTTGTATTTCACCTAGTGATGCTAGGTAAACCTGGTGAAATGTTGTGAATAAAATAAAAATGCTATGATGAAACTTAAGTGTTTTTAATAACATTTCTTTGATCAGTATTTCAGTCCATACTTATCAATTAAACCTTCAGCATTCCTCACTGTCTGAGTGGGTTGCCGAGCCTTTATACGACCACTCAGAAACACACGTTTTAGATCTATATATATACACATACACTACACGTAAATACATAATTAGAGATATGTAAATAGATACGATTTGTAAGGAAGTGGTAAGGGAAAGTGAGAAAAGCTGTAATTAACACTTCTGTTAACTGAGCTGGATAACCCATTAACTATTGAGCAGAACACAAATAATTACCCTTGTTAAGTGAACAGGACTCGAAAAAATTATTGCTAACAAAGCAGGACTTCAACCAACATCTCTAATAGAAGACACTAAATATAAGCACCGTTCTCGTTAACTGAGTAAATTTTTACTCCCTTCCTCTCTTAACCGAACAAAACTGTTACCAACATCCCTTTCAGGGGGGGGGGTTAAACTTTATTTCCCGTTGTTTTATTGATGTTGCATATCCTAAACTAATCCCATATAGGATTAAAGTAAAAGTTGTTTCACGATATTTGCTGATATCTCATTTTCAATACTCAACTCATCAACAACAATTGAAGTATAGGAGTTATGTTGTATATTGTCTTACTAATGTTTTACATTGTAACTTCACTTTATTAACGACAGTTGAAGTATATGAGTTACGCTTGAATGATATTTTACCAATATTGCATATTATAATATCACCTCATCAACAACAGTTGAAGTGTAGAAAGAGTTGTCATACTCCCATGATGTACACGTGACATTCGACTGTTCTACTCTTGAAGGAGAATCAGTAATATTTTTATAAATCAGACAGTGGCTGTAGGTGGCGTTGTCATTCTTATTCTTCACAGGGGGGATGGCTAGAGATTTCCACTGGTTGATAGTCAGATTCGAATAGGCTGGTGGTCTGCTGCACCAATGGTCAATGTCGGGAGCGAAAAATGTCATGACCAGAATATGGCAAGAATTTGGCATTATCACAAAGAAAGCAATTAGAAACACCCGTTTCTGCCATGAACCAAAATTTCCAGTAATGTCCACTAAGTCATTTATCTCTTGTGCTTCGTCCTTTTGAAGATTTGCCATATTATTTCTGCAAAACAAATTCAATAACTAATCATATAATTTACAGTAATCATCTAAACTAATTTACAAATATTCCAAGTAACATCACAGAGAAGATATGCATAATTATGTTAATAAGCTACAACTTTTTGTTCGTTAAGTTTGCCCTAAGATTACTCAGTTATTGTATCCTACTGTGATTTAAACTAATCACAGGGTATTTCACTGTAATTTTATATGTAAATCACTGTCACTGGAAATACTCATTGTAAGTTCATGATTGTATTCATGAAATATAAAATATATGTTATCGTAATTATTAGTGATATCAAAAAGTCATTATATTATCGCTCCCCGGTGGGTCAGTACTAAGTATAAGAATTTACAATACTCAAGTCTGGGGCTCGACTCCCCGAGGTGGACATGGTGCAAGTGGTCAGTTTTGTAATTATCAACAACATTATTTGTTTTAACTTTTAATGTGCCACTCGAAGGAATCACTGTAACGTAACACTTAATGTGATGTTACCCAACATAGTCATTGTTTGTTATTATGACTTTACCTTTGACGCATTATCTCTTAAAACATGCTACATATGTCATGAAAAACTGGAATACGTACATACTGCTACCGGAAACAGTTACCAAATACCACTGAGTATCCGTGAGTAGAGTAAACTGTAATGGACTCGAAATCCTTAATCTGCTTGAGAAAAGTAAATCACCCCCAGTCTCTCACGTTTTTTACTCCTTCACTCAGGGCAGATGTATTGTGTAAAAACTATAAATCAAGAAAAGATATTCAAAAATGAAGTCCTTCAAAAACAGTGCAAACAAGATAGTAGGGATGATATTTGCATCATCCCAACATTATATCACGGGCACAAGTGTAGTAGAATGTTAAAAAAAATAGGATCAATTAAACTCAGTTGTGATAGAATAATTATATATATTCATTCTTTAATTGTTTTTTTATGCAGTGTTTCAATAGACAAGGGAAAATTGTATTAATAACCAAGTTCTACATACAATAAGGTTCTAACTGTAATATAT